TTTTTTATCACCGTTAGATCATGCGATCTAATGACTAGGATTTATTCTTATTTCTTTCACTAGAAACCATTCTCATGTGAACCCAACCCTATATATATATATATATATATAGAGTTGGGATCATATGAGAATGGTAGATAATGAAAGAAATAAGAATAAATCTGTGCCACTTATCTCAACATATCAACGGTCATGATCAAGTCAATTTTAATTATATACCAGTCAATCATTAATGGCAGTTTTGTAAATAATGATAGTTAGTATGGTCATATTTAATCACTTGACCAATAAATAGGGACAATTAAGACATTATATACCTGTGGGCCCCACCAATATCTCAATTAATTATTTAATTCATCTTCTTCCTCACACAAAAACACTCTCTCACGGCAGCATCTCGCCGCTAACAATGGCACGACGGCCGGCCTTCTAAGCGCCGCCGCGCGACACCACAACGCCACCGCCCGCCATCAGATCTTCGCCTCCGTACATCACAGCGCCGTCGTCTGACCTTCAAAGAGACGCCGCCTGGCCGTCAAAGCTCCCCCCGTCCATCACAGCACCGCCATGTCAAGCGTCTCCGGTCACACGACGACATCATCCACGCATTCGCCACAGCCCGCCACCATCGTCACCAACAGCCAGCCGCCCGTCAACAACCCCGCCACCACCGCTTCTATCAGCCCCGCCACCACCGTCGAAGCTTGCCTTCGCCACCAAATCCGTCCCGCAATTTGGAGAAACGCTGCTTATTCTAGACTGCAAAATAATTCTCCGAATTTCGTTTGACAAACGCACCTTCACGGCGAGGGCCACCACGTCAGCGAGGGAGACCGGCGGGAGAGGAGAAGACGGTGGCAGCGCCGTCGGAAGAGATGGTCGGGATGAGCAGGGGTGCAGGTTTCAAATTTTGGATTTTTTTTTTTGGTACAAAGATTTTGGATTTTTTTGAGTTGTGGTTTTATGGTTGGTAATTAGACAAATATGAAGGATCTATTTGCAATTTTTGAATTTTTATATTTTTATATGTTGTTGCACTTGTAATTGTGGTACACTTAATGAAAATCTACACAATAACAATGCACAATAATTTATTATTTATATTATAAAAAAATGTCAAGCGCACAAATTATGCACAATGTTCGTTCCGTCGAACCCCATGACAAAAATGTCAAAAACAAAATAATCGAGTCAAAATTGTGAGGAAAAAAAATACGACCGAGTTTTTTTTTTTTCAGTCGTTTTATCGTTATGGTGCATTCTGTTATTCATTAATGTGCAACTCGTCTAATACTATTGTGCGATTATAACACATGTAATAAATCACACATTTTCTTAATAGTTTGTATCCAATCATACTAAAAACCAAATCAAAACAATCAATTTTATTTGTACAATTAATTGACTTATCTTAAATAATCATAACATTTTATTATTTATATTATAGAGATATAATTAGTATTTTTAATATCTTTACTTAATATTCTCATATTATACTTTATTGAAAATGAATATATATATATATATATAAATTCAAAAAAATATATATAATTTTGTCGGTTCGGTTATTTAAGTTATTTTGTAAAACAAAGATGACATCAAACCATGATAAAAAAAAATAAAATTAAAATTATATAACCGAACACAATTATTCAAAAAAAAAAATGAAATGAAAGTTTTATCGCAGCCGGTTGTTTTCTATTTAATATGAAAAATTTAATTATATGTTAATAAATTTATTTATAATTTTTATATTATTTTTGGTGAGAAACTTTGTGTTTGGTCGTTTCGATACCTCTTGTACAATCTGATAGTCGTGATAATGTGTAGCGTATTGTTCTGTAAAGTGCAACTTATTGATTTATAAAGTGCAAATTATTAATCTATAAAGTACATGTTGATGTGTAAGATGAACTACTATAATTTTGGTAAATTATCATATTTGCGTGTTGTGTGGATAACAGAATTGATTGATATTGAAGTATTATGTACATCTATTTTTTAAATTCATGTTGTGTTATATTCTTGGCAAGAGTTGTTGACATTAATTGTGGAGTGTGATGATAAGGTGCAACTTATTATTTTATAAAGTGCAATGTGGTGTTTTATAAAGTGCAATGTGAAGACATATAAAGTGCAATATTTTATATAGTTATATGCAATATTTTATATAGCCCCATATAAATTATGTTTTTTTTTTTTTTTTTTTTTTTTTTTTTTTTTTTGAAAACTATGGTGCAAAAACTTGGACACAAAAACTTAGTCAGTATGTCTTGGTCTATTGTGCAACATGACATTCACTAATGTGAACTCTGTCTAGCACTAATGTGCACTCGAAATTAAGTAATTTTTAATTGATTTGTCTCAGACTCTCAGCCCATACTAATAACATAATATCTGGTTTATTTTATCGGTTAATCGAATTAACTTAAAAAGTTAAAATAATTTGTAATTTATATTATTAAATAATATTTAGTATTTTAATGATTTTATTTAATAGTTTATATATTGTTTGTTGCATAACAAGACAACATATATATAATAACAAATGTAATTTTTTTATATAGTTTGGCCGGATCTATTAGTTCGGTTGTTTTAAAAAAATAATCAAAATTTTAAAATTAAAAAATATATTAAATAGCCCGTCAATCTACTTTTGATTTTTTCACGTGGTATCATCTATGTTACGATAATGTGCATTATTAACATCATTAATGTTCATTTGATATATTAATATTGTACAATATGCAATAATGTAATTTGTAATATGCATTTCAACAAATTACATATTAAGTTTTTTTAAGTACAATGTATTTATTATTTATATTTATTAAAATCTGGGCATAAATTATATATAAGCATTTGTAAAAAAATTTGGGTATAAATTATATATTTTGTCCATGCAGTAATTGAAAAACACTAAAATTGATGTAATTGCAAATAGGTCCTTAACAATATCTAATTTTCAAACAAAAAAAGGGCAATTTTATCAAAACTCTTAATCAACTTGCAGCCACAGTCCATCGTTCATTTTTGCAGAGGTTTCCGACAATGTCATCTCCACTCCACCGCGACTGAGACGCCGGACATGAAGGGATCTCCGATGGCGTCGGACATGATGGCGGATCTGGGCGGAGTTTCGTCTGAGCTTTTGACTGGACGTGCTCGTCGCGGGAGATGGCCGGCGGGACAGGGGAGGCGGCGATTTCTGGTGGTTGGATGGTTGCGTCGGCGATCGGTGTGGAACAGAGGAGACGTCGGAGAGGGTGCGGCGATTGGGAGCTGAACACTTCCAGCGATTTAGATTTGTCCTCTCCGGCGGATGTTCGACAGGATGACCTCCATATTTGCTTTCCCGAAGTCGCCGGAAACCATCAGGCGAGAGCGACGGACGATGGCGCTGTGTGTGAGAGCTGGGATGGATGGCTGCCGGAGCTAGCTTGGAGGTCGGGCAGTCCACCGGTACTGTGTGTATGTGTGTGTGTGATACTGTGTGTACTGCGTGTGTTTGGTATTGTGTGTGAGTGTGTGTGAGAGAGTGTGGTGTTGGGTGGGGTGGGGTAGGTGTATGTTGACCGATGAATGTGTCATTTTGCAGGTGTAGGAGTAATATTAATGTGCAGTGGGGCCTAAATGCTTGGGTGATGGGTACAAAATTACTCCATTACCCTTAATGAATGTATAATTTTAATTTTTTTTTAGCCATTAGATCATACGATCTAATGGCTACGATTTATTCTTACTTCTTTCATTGAGAACCATTCTCATGTGAACCCAACCCTATATATATATATATATATACATATATATATATTCAAAAAGTATGACCATTGTATAATTAAGTTTATTATATATCATATGTTGGATGTTATTAGTTTGGTTAGGGACACTCATTATATTCAAATAATAATATATAACTAGTACAACACCCGTGTATTACACGGGTGCTTGCTAATTTTTTTCTTAAAATTTAAAATTAATGAGAAAAAATAGTTTGAAAATTTAAATACCTTTTATAAGAATATATATATTATTATATATTTATTATGATACTTGTTATTTGTGCGACTTACTTGTGTTATATTATACTAATTTTTTTAACTTACAATATATAACTACATTAAATATAAATATATCAATTGAGAAATAATTTTATTTTTCTAATGAATTTTAATAAATATTATTATTTTTTATTATTATAAAGATAAATATAATTTATTTATTTTATATATACAATATGGATGTCAAATCAAAAATCATCAAAAGATGATTAATTTGATATATTATATATGTAAAACCGATAAGAAATATAAAAGTTATCTACTTTTAAAATACATTTATATTTAAATAGCTTATTGAAGGAAGCAAATCCAAATTTAGGGATATATTAGTCACTTAGTGCCTCATTATGTAAAATTAAAAAGAATTACAAGGTTATATTAGTAAAAGTGATATTAAAATACCTAAGTTAGCTAAATAATATTTATGGAATACCCGAACCTAGATTATTAATTATTAATATATTAATATTATCTGTCCAAACCTAATTACGAAGCATGATTCTTCGCCAAATAGGATTCCGAAGCACCAGAAATAGCCACGTAGGCTCAGCGCATTCTGGAATTATATATAGGGAGGATTTTTCATATTTAGTATTTCTTTTCTTACAATAATGAGATGTTAAACATAATAACTATTTTTTAATATAAAATCTTAGAGAAAAAGTTTTAAGTAAAAAGTCAGTCAGTCCGTGCATCGCACGAGATACACACTAATATCTTAAACAAAACTTAAATTAAAGATTCCAAATATGAAAATTACATCTCCAAAAGGTGTGGCTTGATATAGCACCCATAACAACTTTGTACACCGGTTAGAGCGGTTAGCTCGAATTATCCGGTCTAGGATAGCCTTAGCTTAGTATCATTGTCAGGCCTTGTTAAGGAGCTCGATGTAGTAGCTCAGGTAGGGGTCAACTCAAAAAGTTCGGTTGGGGGGTTGTAACGACCTAAATGAGGGGTCATCTGAGGTTGTGTAAGGACCTAGTAAGGAATGGTATAAGTGTCATGAGATCCGTTTTGACCTCAGGACCTAAGAACCATGTTAAAGAATGATGATACATAATCCTGTTTTTTTTTTTTTTTTTTTTTTTTTTTTTTTGGTACAATGATACATAATCCTGTTAAAATAGTAACTTTATGTTGCTTAGAAATAAAGGATCTTAGAGACATGTCATATTAGAAAATGAGATATGGAGAGATCTTTTCCCCAATAATGTGGTTGTGTAGTTAAGACGACAACCTCTTCATAAAAGGATGTTCTCAATTTTTTATTTTTTTTTGTTTTTTTTACAAATTAATATGTAATATATATTTAATACATCCCAGTTTACAGTACGAGCGAGATCTTTAACTTGAGCGTCAGAGGTTTTACGCCGGGTCCTCTCTCAGCGTATTTTGCAGGTTATCCGAGCTTGGGTTCGGAGGCGGTTCGTGATATTGCCGGTCCAGTCCCAAATTGAAGGGATTTTGCATATCAAATTGACGATTTCTATGGAAAAATCTAGTCTTCTACGGGTTGGCAAAAGATTTGGTTTTCTAACAATTATTGAAGGAAACAATTTTATGGCCAAAGAATGTTCGAGGAAAGACCAGGCTAAATACATGGAAGAGGCTTAGACGTCACGAGTCCCTATTAGAATGGGACCGCCGTCTAGTTGGTCGAAGGACACAAGTGCACGAGCTATTGGAGTGAGACTGTTGCCCGTAAGAGACTTTTAGTGTATTTTTAAAAAAAATTTGCCAAACAATCTCCAAAGCAAACTGAATAAACTGCACTGTGGCGTAAATCAATCAAGGCGTGAAAGTTAGAATTGAACTTGAAAACCTTTTCAACAAGGAGCACACTATGATTTATCACGGTCTTTCCAACAAGGAGCACACTATACTTCATAATCACGGTCTTTAGACTTTATGAAACATTCTATGAAGAGAAACTAAACAAAAGGGTGTGCAGAAACTACAACGTAAACCACACATTTGCTTCCTGCCAACACTTTTGCATAATCAATCTTGGCAGATAAATAAAAAGATGTCTACCGAAAAATCCACTATTCCTGCCAGACCCCATAGCTTTAATAATGGAAGAATGTACTGCTTCACCTAAAATATTCTGTAGAAAATGACTATAGCAACCTAGTCCAAGAACTCAAAAATGGGAAAATGGTAACAAGCAACCTTAGTAATAAAGGGCCACTATTAGTTTCACCCAATTTCCCGTTTTTACCTTTTACTTCGTGGCCGCCTCGCATTTCGTTTGATTCTTGACCAACTTTCACGGAAGACCCAAACATGGACTCAGCCGCTGCATCTAACTCGTCCCACCCCCCGAACTTGGTTGCCCCACTATGACTGCCGCCAATCGAAACATCCTTTCTCGTTCTCGAAGTTCGACATCTTTTTTTCCTCTTTCGTGGCCCTTTACTGTCAATCCACTCTGCATTTTGTTCAAAGTTCCCTTTTCTTGAGCTGTAAGCACGTGATTTTCGCCTCTTGGTTTTGTTCTTAAGGTTTAGCTTCACCTTTCCCCAATTCTGTAATTTTTGCACTGCGAATGCGAGAGTCGACTGGCCAATAGGAAGGGCTAACGCCATTAGGAAAGCTTTTGGACCAGTTACGAGAAGCATTGAGGATAGGATAAATGGAAGACTCCAGCCAAAGGATCCAAAAACCTGCACACGCACAAATACTTCACCTTTCCAGTGTAAAGCCAATTTTCTTTCAAACATTAACTTCCACGAAAATGTAGTAACAGGCGTAATTTAGATTCAAGAAAAAAGATGATCATTGATCAAAGAGTTTAATTAAACTACTCAAGAAAGAACAACTCCTCATGCATAAATTGTTTCGTAAAACTGAATCTACTTTAAAATGGTGGATCTGGGGTCAGAGTGTTCTCAAATTAAACTACTCAAGAATCATCAGAGTGTTGAGGGTTACTGTACAATTTGCAAGGAAACGTCACAGAATATTCAACAGTTGCAATTACAATATTATGCTAACTCAAATATGCCATAATCAGACTCATAGCTAATACATATACTTTTTCATAATTTCTGTGAGAAACAGAGAGAGAGAGAGACCTTGAAAATCCAGATGCTGTCAAAATAATCATCGAGGACGTCAAACCACTGCTCCAAACTGTCATCAAAATCTTCAGTATCATCATCTTCAGCGCCGAAATTGAATTCGTCTGCTTTGTAACACTTGCAAATATGGAGGTTCCATGAGGAGAAGAGCAGGAGAAATTGACGATGATGATGGTTGGGGACAAAAATTGAGGGGTATTGGAATTGGGAAAGGAGTTTTGGGGTTTCTAACAGAGAGAAAGTATGGAAAGGAAGCTGACGGAGATGAAACCCGGCCTTCGCCATTATTGGCGCCATTGCCACAAATTCTCTTATCTGCTCCTCCACCATATTAATTATTATTTTTCCTTTTTTATTATTTAAAAACTGAAAAAAAAAATTAAAGATTTTTTTTTTTCTTTTTTTCTTTTCTTTTTTTTTTCAAAATGAATAATACCATTAATTTAAACCACAAAGAACAGAGTTTAAGGCCCACAACCCATACAACAGAAATTGCCACATCATCAGACTACTAACAAAACTAACAAGAAACTAACACAATAGAATGAGAACCAAGCAAGTTGGTCTAGAAGATGATGAGGGAGTAATGGCAGGTCTAAAGGGCAGTATAGAATACTGAGGCCCCTT